CCCCAAAACCCCAAAACCCCAAAACCCCAGGACTTAATTCTAAGTTGAATTATACTTTAACAAATTCTAGTATATCCTTATCAGGGTTCGAATGGTATTCTTGCTCATATTTCTGAATTTTCTTTGTTCTAATATCTATGAAAAGGTGGTTAAACACCTCGAGAGTTTAGAAGGATGATGATTAATGTTTAGTCCGGAGAGTTATGACTGAAGAGAGTTTGTAAGTGCTTACCGATATGGTGAACCTTTTCAATATCATCTTCTGTCATATTCTTAATAAAGATCTTGATTATGGCGAATACGTCTTCAATTTCACTTAATAGCAGTTCTTCCTCATTTTCTTTCAAAATATACAGAGCCACTCTATATAGGACCTTGGGTCCTTCGGTCAGAAATCAGTCGAAGATTCTGATAGTGCACTCGTAAGGAAACCCTACACTGCAAAGGGTCATGAACCATTGAGAAGCATACATAGATGGACATAGATTTAGGTTCCTTAAATGATCATGTACTTTAGGAAGTTTCTTCTTCATTAATTTCTGGAAGACGTAGAAAGTCTCCCATAATCCTGGCATCTTTGGTTTGAAATATTTGATATGGTCGTATTTCGATAGAATAGAAGCCATTGTCCAGAATGCCTCCTCTTCTGGAATGTACATCAGGAGAATTGCAGAGATATAGCCCATACCTTGAACATATCCACTTTCCTTTACGTAATTGGCTATAGCTCTGAGAACATTGAATAATGCTTTTTGGCCTCTTCCAAACTTCTTTTTGAAGAATCAGTGGTTTGGAAAAGTTCTTGAAATATCCTTCATGATTGAATCGATATCTACACAAAATTTATCAAGATTTAAAAAGAATAGCGATACAAAAATCATTTTCTAGCTCACCTTTCTTAGATTCTTCATTAAAAAGGTCAAAATACGTGACTGAGCTATTTTCTTCCTTCACCTCTTCAATACAAGCAAGAGTTTTCCAGGCAGTACCTCTAAACGAATCCGGTATTCCCTTCCTAGCTCTGGACTTAAGCTTAGAATGAACCTTATACGTATCCTTTTTCTTCCCTCCTAAAGCCAACCATAACCCCCTTCCCTACTACCAAGTTACCTTTGTACGGATAAGTCTCTAACATCCTCTGCCACTTCTTAATCCTCACATACTGGGTCTTCTAAATCAATTTCGGAACCTTCCCTACCTTATCACTTTTGTCTTTGCCCTTGACTCTATTTATCAATTTGCTTCTTTATAAAGCTAGACCCAGTCATACGCATAATTTGTTCATCAGTAAGCTTATTGCTACCTTCAAGGAACCCATACTCATTCTTATGTGAGATAGTCTTAGTGTCTTCGTGCTGGTAAGCATCGATCTCCCTGACGAACCTCTCTTCACTAGTCGAAACTAGATGTTAAGGGGACAATTTACTTCTGCGACTGAAGAAGTCACTTGACTCACCAGGTTTAGACTCGATGTTCTGGTGGCGGATTCTGACATGCTTCTTTGCAGATCCGCTTTTTTTCCTCTTACTATAGAACAGCTTTGTTAGACACGTTTTGGGTGAGGGTCTGCTTACTCTTTTGATGATAGGATGCTCCTGATTTCGCGAATTGGTGTGTGAGCTTTTTCTTTCTGAGGAGTTACTACATCTCAACTATCACTAATTTCTTCAGGGATTTCATCTGACTACTCAAAGTTAATAAACCTCCAAGACTAGTATGAAAATGTACGATACTAGAAAAGAAGAAAAATTATGCTGAACTCAAGAGAAGCCCCTTAGAGTTCAGCCCAATGATACTTTCAGCTCAAAGAGATTGTAAGAATGCTAAATTTTCAACAAGCTAGCCCTAGGCCAAATTACAGTCTTCCCTACTTTAATCTTTCATAATTTAAGAAGCTCTAATAAATCAGCCTCTAAGTGATCCCAAAATTTTAAAATATTATCAACCCTTCATACCTAACGACTACTGGACCGCTTTATGCTCCCCTACTTTACCTAAGAAGGTCAAATTTTCATTATCAAAATTTCTGGGTATTTAAAATTTATATCCCGTATAAAAAGAAAGGTTTTTAAGAAGATGCCCTGACTAGCCTTTTGAAAAAGTGTAAATTACCTCTGAGCCCTCACTAGAGCTAACAACATCAATATCAACCTCCGATTCATCTTCTTTAGGTGTCTGAACTCTGAATTGAACATTTTTCTCCATTTTAAGCTTCTATATTTATTATAAGCCTTGGGGTTTTGGGGTTTTGGGGTTTTGGGGG